CATGGAAGTAGCAATTCCAGTCCCTTTCGTTTTGTCTGGGGACCGAAACCCACTGAAGCACCGGGTCACGGAGCTCGTCCGAAGCTCGTGCAGACCGGAGGACACCGCGCCACATCGTCCGTGCCACGGAGGACACCGCGCGGATCGACCCACCTTGGTCATCCGTGAGGTGCCAATGAAAATGATTCATCTTGAAGAGTGCCTTAGGTGTTGGCATGTCGTGTTGGCCAATCCAACCCGGCTTCAGCGAGGGTGTCTGTCAAACACCTACAAACATTGGATTGCTGGTGATCGTCGATCCAACGTCCAACTTGATGCGCGAAAGGTAGCAGCCCAAAAGCAGTTAGTGTTTCTCCTTTCGACCTTTAGGAACCCGAAACCCCTCGTCCACTCCGTTGGTCTGAGCGATTCACCGACGGCTGAATCGAGGTGGCACCGTTTTGCTTGGCCAAAGCACAAGCATCGAACAAAATGGTCCACAAGCGGCCGGAACTGAAGGCTCAGGGTTGCAGGCACACAAGAATGCCATGAAGTTGTATGAATGAAGTTCCTGATCTTCTGTGATACGAATTGGCTGTTTGGTTCAGCGACCTGCAGATTCCGATTTGAAAAGGCCTTCTCAAGATTAAATATCACACAACTCCCCAGAGAAGTTCCGGTGTCCACATTGTGCTCATGGCTGGCAGGGCACCAGGCCGTTGCGGACTTGTTTGGAATTGTCTGGCAAACACATGGACTTTTCTAGCCCCAAATCCCCCAAACCGGCCACAGCTCCCGCTCCAGGCCGACAAACCATCGTCTTCAGCAAGTGCTTCACCGCCGTGGGCGAGAAGAAGTGCCGGCTCACGTCGAGCATCAGCCCCCGCCAGGCGAACTCCGGCGCGTCCTTCTTCGAGGCATCGAGGCATCGAGGGGAGTCGAGGGGAGTCGAGGAGAGACGTGCGAAGGCATCAAACGAACACACCTGGACCGGAACAAAGCAAGCTAAGAGGAAGAAGTCTAATTTTTCGTTGGACTCTTGCCAAGAATGGCCGATCCATCGCAAAACGCTCCACAATGTGTGTCTCTCCACCTCTCGCATCTGCACCACACTCGCCCTGCCCCAGTCTCGCAAGAATTCCAACTATCCATCACAAAAGAAACTTGGCCAAAGTAATTGATGCATGTGCATGATTCATCAATACCGTCAATACTCGATATCCAAAAAATATATCCTAACATAAACATCGAAAGATTGAACTATGACACTGCTCGCTCAGATCTCTCTCCTCGATCTCCACCTTCTGCAAGCTCCACCCACCGCCTTCGCTGTCTGCACGATGAACCATGAGCTGACGCAGCGTCATCAGGCCATTGAAAAGCCTTGGATCGGGATGTTTGTCATGTTCCTTCCCCAGTCTGGGGGGCAAACACCAGTGCACCGTTTCTTTGACCCAAGTGCACATGTTAGCACCACCTCGCCACCACTAAAAAGAAGCCACTTCCCCTACTTGAACAGGGGCAATAGGCGTTTCTAGATGCCCCTTGGCAGCGCAGATAGTTCGGGAAAAAGATCTGTGCTGTTGGCAAGGGTTTGAACAATGGGGCGCATCTCATGAAGCGGTGTTCTTCTCTCTGTGCCGGGAAGGTTTTCCACAAATTCCACCAAAAAAAAGGGAAAGAATGCACTTCTTGTCTTGTGGCTTCAGTGGCGCGCGCTACCCAGTTGTCATGAACACTGGAATCGATCCCTTTTTTTGTACAAATGGTCTGACATTGAGGTTGACAGTGCCATCACGCGGGAAACACTGCACACCCTGCGCCCAACAAACACTTATAGTGATACTTAGAATTATTAAGCTAATATTAAGATTTCAAGAAAATATCCGCCCAGTGTTGGTATTTTCTTGGGGGGCCCACGTTCTAGGCTTGTTGGATCAAGAACCTGCTTTCAACCCAAACCCCCACGCGCCCGAGCAGCCCGTGCTCTGTGGACGCCTCGAGGGCGATGCCCTCCTCGCTGACGTTGAGCCGGTAGCCCTCCGGATGGAAGTCCTCGGCCTGGCGGGACGGAGTCCACGGACGTCGACACGCGAGGGACGAAGCGCCCGCCGGCCGTGGCGAGGTCCCGTGGCGATGAAAGAAAGGGGCCACTCAGCAACCGTGGCGATGGTGAGGAATGCTCTTGAGTTTCCATCAATCAAGCACCCATTGGGAGGATGTAAACGAATAACAATAGAGTTCGTGATGTCCCCAACATACCCAGTATCTTACAACCCTTGCTGGTAGATAGGCGTTCTTGCAGAGATCTCAGCCAGTCAAGGGATCTCACTTTACAGGAAATTGTTGTGGAGGCTCGTCGTTCTCCAACGAGGTGCTGACTTTTGGGCGTTGGGTCAAAAAGAACTTCCAAGGCATGCCCGAAATACACCAGTGCGGACCCGTACTCGTTCCAACTTGCCAAAACTCTGCAGCTATATATAAGTCACCTACAAACCACTCTCAAATTGCAGCCTGTTGCCCTCAAGAGATCACAGAATCACCGAATCTCAGGGGCCTCTTCTTGCAGCATGAGTCGCAGCCCCGCCGCTGCGCCGCTTGCGCCGGGCGTCGCACCCAGGACATCGCCCAATGCCGCGCGCAGCGCGGGGGGCGCGCTGGGCGCGTCGTAGCGGAGCTCGTGGAGCTCCAAACGGCCCGTCCTGCGGTTCGTTGTTCGTTGGTTCCGTGGTCCGGGCGGCGGGTCACAGGCCTTGTTGAGGGTCACGTGCCCCTGCCGTTGTTCGGAGAGTGGGTCCTGCCACACCTTCAAGAGTACAGGACATGGCCTTCCATTTGAGATGTGGCCTTTTCAGGTTTGCACGTCAAGGTCGCATCCCAACATGATAGCTCACAGTCGCTCAGTCTCGCTGCAGTGTTTGCGTGTCCCGAAGGCTCAACAACCTCCAAAGAGCCCAGCTTTCTGAATCGACTTTTCAGAGCCCAAATTCTAAAAAGCTTGTGCTTTTCAGCAACACCACAACAAAGACTTGGTTTAGCTGGACTGCATCACCAATAACTAATAACAAACAGCTAAAAACATGTAACTGTAACGTCTGATTTTATTGTAAATATGTGTATGTATATACAGTTGAAGGGGGTTGTATAAGCACTAGCTTGACCACGAGTCTAGGCGACATGCACAACCCTAGAGACTGAAAAAGGCATGGGGGTTCACCCACCACGGACCGTGATTTGGTCATATCCCTCTCCTCACTCGCACCGTCTTCGGCTGCGGGATCAGCGAAAGCGTGTCATGAGGGTCTGCCTTCACTTGCAACAGCGATGCGCCCAGGTCGCCGAACTTGGCGGCCCGCGCGCCCAGGTGGCACAGCAGCCACGACAGAACAGCGAGGTAGCGGCGGCTCCGCCGCGCGGATATGGAATAAAGTGGGCCAATCAAGAAGGCCATGCTGCAATTAGTGTAGAAGTGAAACTTCTCTACTAGAACTTTGGAGCCACATGGCTTTCAAAAAGACAGCTCGCGTGGCCTGGAGGGTGGGAGAACCCCTCCTGCTTACCACAGCTCCGAAAGGCAAACAAAGCTCGGGTCACCGCTTCACCCCCAAACCGAGTAACGAGTCTGTCATATCTGGCACCCAAGCTGAACGGGTCTGCTCCCAACGCTTAAACCAACGGTTACCTCTCCGAACCGACTCCCCCACCTCTCATCTCCGCTCCAAGGCGCAGCCATACGAGGTTGAAGCGCTTTAAACAGCCACCGAAGCAGGGGTTCAGGAGCCAACTTTTGGGAAGTGGCGCCTGGGGCGATCGATCGCATTCGAGCACCGCGCCAGTGGGCCGGGCAGAAGTGGCTCCAAAAGGGGAACCGACTCTTCGGGCCCTCCAATGAGTGGCCACCAAGCTTGGGAGTAACAGGACGGCTGAGTCTGCGACATCACTCAGTTGATATATGAGATATATGTTTTAATATATCCCTATATCCCTACAGTATATCTCTCTATCTCTCTCTTTCCTCTCTTTCCTCTCTCTCTTCTCTCTCTTCTCTCCCTCTCTCTCTCTCTCTCTCTCTCTCTGTGATCATGATGGAGATAAAGGGCCAATCCACCCGCAACTGGAGATGGTCTTGGACTCAAACCGACTGCATGGTTGCAGTGGGGTTCTGTGGTTATATACGTGGTTATGTGGAGTATGTGATGTCGCCCCCTCGAGTCCCAAACCGAGTGCACGAGGCACCTCACCTCTCCCGCTCTCGCGTGCGCGCGAAAAAGAAGGCGCTCCTGCGCCAGCAGGCTGCTTGACATGGACTCCATGGCCAAGTGTTTTGCATAGACAAGTCACGTCGTTTTAGAGATCTGTATCTTCAAAACCCCCTTGACTCCACCGTTCTTGAACGCTTCTCAAGTCACGGGGTGCCAAAGAGGTAAAGAGGCTAGCTGAATGGCTCGGTCAAGCTTTCAAGCTCGGTCGTCTACGTGGAGGTCTTCTTGGGGTTCACGGAGAAAAGCTGTTCTCCCCTTGCTCTGATGATCTCAGTCTGCTGCTCTCAGTCGACCGATCTGCTGAGCAAAAGACTGCCACGGCCATCACATTCAGATGCATTCAGGGTGTGAAGGAGCAGCCAAGGGAGAAAAAAAGGGCAAAGGACTGATGCACTAAAGCAACGAAGCTGAGAAAGACCTGGGAGCCAAACTCTTGGCTCAAATAAATGATAAGTCTCGGCGTGATGAAGAAGCCAAGCGTTTTGAGATAGGATTACGAATCTATAAGATCTATAAGTAACCTGCACAAGAAGGAAACTCGCATGGCATCTGACCCAGGTGCTTGCAAAGTCTGTCGGAGCTGCTGATGCATCCCAACCCTGGCAGTTGACACCCTTCAGTTCCCATCAAATGATGCTTCAGCCTTTGGAGATGCATATTTGTCATCGTATCCAAGTAATGTTTCATGTGCACACATATATATATATATATAGTATATTCTATATAATCCCCCCTCTGAATCCATTCGCCATGAAGACCTTAGAGATCCACCTTTTTGGCACCTCCCGACTCCGCACCGATCACCTCCCCGCTCACCTCCGGGGCCGCTTCCGCGGAGGCCGCCGCGAAGTAGACCGTGGCCTTCACCGGCCGGGCGGAGGACTGAGGCCAAGAAAGGGACAAGAACCGTGTGGACCCACCGGACCGTGTTGCGTGTAGGAACCGGGTGGGAAAAGGAGGGGCGGGAGAACTGTGCTTACAGTGAAGATCAGTGAAGAGTTTCTACGGGAATTGTCTGATTCAAGGAGTTTCGACCCGCTTTTGCTGGCCTGTGTTCCTATGTATCATCAAGCCTCTGGCCATGAGCAAAGGCACCTCTTGTAAGCCCGCTGTTTGTCATCCTGGTGCCAGTGCCTGGAAGTGCAAACTGCCTCTGGCGTCTCTTGGCACAAACAGTGGATGATCATGGTGAGCCGGGGGTCGTCCATTCTCCACGCCACATCCTTCCACACTGATCCTTCCGGAATTCGGTGTGCTCGACCCGGGGTGACCCAACGCATGACCGGGCGGTGCAGGTGTTGGCGGTGCAGGTGTTTGGGCTTTCACACCTCCAAAGCACGGGCTGACGCGTGAGCCCACCATGTCTTCGGAATGCCTCTGAAGAGGTGAAGGCATTCGACGAGCCCCCGTACCTGAGGAAGGGTTGGCACAAGAAATTTTAATAGATGGTTCAATCTAACTTGGACATCAGCGTCCGTCTCAGCTAGGAAAAATGACAACATTTGACAATGCGTCATCAACATCATCAACACTGGTTAAACCGGATGTCAGATGTGGGACACCTGTGACCTTTGAAGGGGCCGGAGTCTGGGAAGAGGGGAAGAGAAAGAACAACACCTGACGAGTATCCATCCGGTCAGCGCACTTGGTGAGGAAGTTGTCGAAGCCCTGGGTGAGGGCCGCAGGAACGTTCCGACCACCAAGGCAGAGGAGGTCACGGGGCGAACGCCGAAAAACGACTCGGTTGTAGTTGGGTCGCAACTCGGTCATCGAGTCACGGGTGGTGTAATCATAGGGTGCGAAACAAGAACATCCATGAACATCCCACATGGTGGCGAGCATTGAGACGACCTGAAATAGCTTTGGGGGTTAGTCAAGGCTTCTCAAGTTTGCATGAGGTCGAACGGGAACGAAGTGGATGATATAGCCTAGCCGTGCCCCCAAAACTTCCACTGTTGCAGTTTCAGATGTCGGAAGGTTCCGCTTGCAGCTCCTTGGATGGAAGAATTCTTTAGGCTGCTTGGAGATCTGCATTAGCCACTGAACTTTCACCCCTTCCAAGCGCACTCCTGAAGCCACAGCAAGGCTGACGAACCAGGCAACCAAAAGGCCATGCTGGGCTCGCATGAACGGTTTTCGCGCTTTGGCATGTCCAAGGCACGCTGGGCTCAGGGTACTTCTGCGTGCCCAGGAAGAGCATGTGTTCGCAAAAGTGTGCTAAACCTCGGAAAGAAGCGCATTTCTTGACCGCTATGAGGTGTCAACACAGCTTCCCGACACAGGCCGTAAGTCTAGGCTGGGACTTGTAGAATGAAGCCGGAAAGGTCCAACCCTGGAAGTCTGCAGCCTCTCACCATTGGAAATCCCGAAGTCTTGACTTGGGATTGTGTTGGACAAACTCGCAGCAAAAGCCAGCTGAAAGACCAACGGACTCGCTTTCCAAGGGAATCATCAAATACATCATAATACATCATGATACATCACGCACGTGCGTAAAACATCATAAAACGCTTCATGCCATGCTGGGATGCCTCCGATGGGGTGAACCCGGGGATTGTCACATCCCACTTCCACCCATTGAAGACACACCAAAACAGCTCCCATGCCGTCCCTGCAAACAGAACTTTCAAACTGGCAGCAGGTTGTAGCTCCCACCCTTCTTGGCGCATCTGTTGGGACTCTCTACAGTCCGACCCCCGTTCATCCCCGTTCCACACGTCCGACCCCCGTCCCACGCGTTTCACCCGTTCCAGACCGCACCTGGCAGCTCCCGTGGGTCATCGTAGCTGCCGGCGCGGACGCCCTGAGGCGGGTCGCGGTGGGCGAGCTTCCACCACACTGGTGGAACGCACCAGGCCGTTTTTGGGCCAAACGAACCCAAGTCGGGAACCTCCCCCCCCACCAGTTACCCGTCCCCTGGAGGCCGAAGCATAGAAACGAACCCCAAGTTCAAGGCTCCACACCATTGCCATCGCCATCTTGTGGCTCTGAGCATCCTGGTCGCGCGGGGACTCCGCGGTGGAAGATGCCTGGGAACATACATCATCGCAAAGAAAAGAGTGGGGACCCATTTGAGGTGATTGCGTGACCGCAATCGAATCTATCTCATCAAGCTGCTGCTCTCTGTCACCCTGCTCTTGTGTCATTGGAACCTCGAGACCACGAAAGCGCGATGGTTGGTGCGATGGTTGGTGCGCCCCTCGACGATCACACGAAATAGGCTAGAGAGGCTGATCGATGCCCCAAACAAGCCTCCCAGAACGACGAGTTTTTTTCCCGTGCTTTTCTCTACCGGAGAAATCTCCACATTAACAGTCGATTCTGCATCCAGCAACGGTCACGGCCATTCTCAGGCTCCACACCCACCACCCCGACCACAAAAATCCAACCCCACCGTCCGAACATCCTAGACTCAGAACACCCCATGCCCCCTGCAAGTGAGTTCGGCGAGATGTCCTGGATGTTCAGCATATGGAGTCCATTCGGAAGCGTGGAGAACCTGTGCGTGGAGTCGCCGGCGCATGCGCCCCCGCGCGCCGCGGATGACCCCGCCCGACATCCGTCCGCTCAAAGCCCCCGCTCTGAAGCCCAAAGGTTCAAGTTTGATCCCTTTTTTCCTGGAGGAACATGCACCCCGAAAACCACTTGGGGCTGTAAGGGGAAAATGGGTTTCCACGGGTGAAGTGTGCAGGGTCGTGAGTCTGACAGCCGGATTTGACCGTAAAACGACCCTCCAAGATGGTCTCCCAAGTCCCGTGCCGCACTTCGGAAGGTAGACTACACGGAGTACTTGATGGTTTTATCCCCTGCCTCTCAGTTGCTTCGAGAGGACAGACCCGAACTCCACGCACTCGTCTACAGCCAAGGTGCTGATAGCTCCTCTCATCCGAAAGAGGCTTCTCAGACAGAAGGACTAACGTCCTCCCCGCGTGGCCCACGTTCGGCCCCGGCGCAGGTTCTGTTCGCGGCACAGCACGCAAGACCGACCGCGCGAGCGTGTGACTTAGACACCTACGCTCCGGCGGCCGTGCATCTTGGACATGCAAACGCCTCGTAGAGACATGGTACCACAACCAGTGGTACAAAACAACAGCCATAACAAGAACCCAGTGGTACAAGAACCATCACCACGTGTTCCACTGGCGTGTTCTGGCACCAAAGAAGGACCCATCACCAGCTGCCGGCAGGACCCTTGTCTGTCTCTCTCTCTCTCTCTCTGTCTGTCTGTCTGTCTGTCTGTCTGTCTGTGTCTGTGTCTGTGTCTGTGTCTGTGTCTGTGTCTGTCTCTGTGTCTGTGTCTGTCTCTGTGTCTGTCTCTGTGTCTGTCTCTGTGTCTGTCTCTGTGTCTGTCTCTGTCTCTGTCTCTGTCTCTGTCTCTGTCTCCCACGGACGTTGGAGCGGCGCGAGCGACACCGCGCTCCTGGGCATCCTAAGCGGGGCGCGAATGCGGCCGGAACTGGGTGGGTGGAACAAGGCGTTCCGCTGGTTCGCTTGGACATCTGAAGTAAGGGTGTGCCTTAACCAACGGGGCGGGTGAGGCAGGGCGGATCGTGCCAACGAACATGGCCCAAATCACAACAGCCCCAAGCAGTGAGTTGTTAGACAGGTTCCTCAGGATGCAAGTCACCCTTTGAATACCTCCCTGCCGTCCGGTCCCGAGCGGCCTGCAAAATACACTATCTATCTATCTGTCTGTCTGTCTGTCTGTCTATCTATCTGTCTGTCTGTCTATCTATCCATCCATCTATCTATCGAATCTTTGCCATTCTGAATCTATATATCTAGCTAGCTATCTAAGTCTATGTAAGCAGTTGAGCATTCATCTCACAACACTCATGTGACTCAGGAACTTCCAAAAGAAACGTTCATGCTCCGGGACTAGCTTGCCATAGCTTGCCTAGGGTGTTGCGGCTGAATGCAGTGGCTTAACGCGGCTCGAGGCGGTAGATCGCACAAGCCCGTTTGGCACGTTCTCTTTCGCCGCTCTGAACCACCGCAGTCGGCGTGCTCCTCTCCACCGCTGCGCCCGCCCCTTCTGCCGCACCGGGAAGGCAGAGGCCCCGCACATGGCGAGGTGGACCAGCCAGACTGCCTGGGACGCAGGGCCCGACAGGCCGAAAAGGGCGAGGGCCCGGCCGAAACGAGCTGCGAGGCCCGGCCCGGGAAGTGTTGACTCACTCACATGGAAGTGGAAAAGGACCCTGTTTGTAGAGGACAGGAGTCTTCCTTTCGGGACCATGCCATCTACTTCCATGTGAGGGAGTCAGAGTGTAGGTGGGAGGTTCTCCAGACCTCCTGGCAAGATGGAAAACAGCACGATCGGGGGATTTTCATGTCAAAAGTTCGCCGCAGCACTCTGGACCACTACCATTAAAAGTCCCCACCAAACTCACCCTAGGGTCTCCTTCACAGGCAGCAGACACAAAACCTCAAACCCCGCGCAAGCACCCGGCAGGTTGAGGATTCAAGCTGACTCCCACCAGTACGTCACACGTTCTCAGTTTCATACAGTCCCTTAGTCTCGTGTCATGCTCGAGCATGTGATGACTGACTCATTGTCTATATCCATTTCATCCAGTCCATTCCATCCATCATCAATTCCATTTGTGGATGTGCCAACGCCTTCCGTCAAGCTCCCATCTGCCGGTCAAAACCGCGTAGAGTAGAGTCAGACCAAAGTAGAGTCGCTCAGCCCATCTTCCCTCCAGCTGGGTCCCTCACATGTCAGACCTTAAAAACCATGCACCCTTGCTGGGGTGCCCCTGCTCCAAGGAGGATGAAGAAGGCGCCCGTGAGCAAGGTGCATCGATGACGCTCCCAACATTTTGGACTGCAAGCAGTGACCCGGCATGGACAGCACAGCATCTTTGGTGCTTCAAGCTCTTCCATCACAAACCCATTTTTATGTGTGGGGCTGCTTTCGGAGAAGTGTAATCTGATGGGCTCGAAAAAGGAAAATACAAATAAAGTACAGTAACAGTATAACGAAAGTGCTTACATTCCAATGTGTCTTGCCACACGGGTTCCGTCAGCAAAAACATGCAAAGACACCTGGAACCTGTCTGGGTATTTCAGGCACGCACCGATGTGCGTAAGTCTCACCGTGCTCCACCGGCTGAATTGCATGATCGTATATAAAGCCCCCACAGGAAGAGGTCTTACCCACCTTTCCATACAGAGATCGCTATGCCAACTTTGCCAGCAGACCTGCCAACTAAAGAATGGCCTACATGGGCAGAAGTTCCCCTTGACAAACAAGATAAGTTCCTGATTACAGTGCGGAACGCTCTATCCAGAAAGAAACCATTCGATACAATCTCCCATCCGAATAATTAGATGCCTAAATTCTTGACTTCTTCGTGAATTCGTAATCAAGTATGTAAAGAACCATGCTGCAAGCCGGAAAGGGGCAGACAATGTGACCACAGGCCACCCGAAGGCCTCTTACACACGTTGTTCTTCCCACGTTCTTCGGTTTCACAGCCATTTTGTGTACAGGCAACCTAGCTGTGTTAGTCACCCCTTTCTCACCACTGACACCCACCAATACCCGTCACAATACGTGACAAGGGGTTGCGTGGACGCGGACGTCCGCAAGTGAGCGCATCCAAATGGGGGGATTATTAATCAAGAGTCTACATTGCGCTGACAATGGTACAATCTTGATGCTCAAAGCAGTGAAGAAGGAGAGAGCTTCTCCCCACTTTCTCGGTTCACTGCATCAAAAGGCCCCGGAAAGTGAAAGTGATGCAAAAAAATAGCGTCTAGCGTGATGCCCCGGAGGGAGTTCTGCTCCGCTGAGCCACTTGCAAACTTGTGGGACTTCAAAGCTCAAAGAACCCAAAAGCAGTTCTGCCTCAACGCCATACACGTTCCCTCCGTGGCCTTGGGTCGTCCTTTTCTAAAAGTTGGGTCCTCAGTGGAGACAGCGAGGACCAAGTTCGATGCTCATCCCACCAAGCTCTTGAACATATGGAGAGATGGGTGAGATATACATTTTATACTATATATATGCACTGTATATATATATATAAACATGTACAAACAAATGCATATATCATATTTACGTGTATGTATATATGCATATGTATATACTGTATATATACAGTATACATCGCTCCACGTGCACATGCAGGTCGCAAGCAAAGGTCTGCCCCCCACTGATTGTCGAGATGCCCCACCGTGAAGTTATCAAAAAACATGATAGAAAAAGCAAGTCAGGTGGTTTCAGAGCAAACGGCCTCAGCTACCCCAGCACGACATGTGTTTTAGATGGGGGCCAGGAACCTCAATGCAAACCAGCTCAACAGAACTTCTCGACACCAAATTCACATCATCGAAGCTGTTGTTCTTCCCCAGCACAAGAGTACTCCCCATCCTCACCGCCCATCCTCCCTGAGTCTCAAACATTTCATCCTGGAACCGGTTTTGAGTCGCTGGACATTCACCGGTTTTTGGGTCAACCCCCGAGCTTCGGATCTGCGCAGTAATTAGCTTCGGAATGACATGTTCATGATGAGTTTTTGCGGGAATTTCAAGGCATCTCTATGGCTCTATGGGGGCATCTTGCTTGATCAACCCCCTCTTTGGATTGTAAAGCCTCTTCATTGGGGGGTGATGAACCTTGCGGACGAGACCAAAAGAGGACGCCACCGTTCAGCGAACGAGGCTGTTCCGGACCGATGCTGAACTCAGCCACCGAACCGAGGGCGTCGGTCACGTCGTCACGCTGCCGTCTCCGACTTCGCACGGCACGAGTTGTGCCAGGGACAGCCCCAGCCACGAAGAGCCAGAACCAAACACAAATGAAAAATTGGGATATTACATTTATACCAGGCCCTAAGGGGCTTCTATTGCTCCTTGGAGGTTTTTTGGGGTGTCCATTAACCACCCCGACAGGTCCTGGTAGAAAGCTGCATGGGCAGTGAAAATTCTTAACCACAATTCCCTGCCAACTCGTTGGTCATGTGGTCATCGCGGCCCACTTCGGCCCCCGAGACGACGTCTCCTTCGCCTCGTTGGGTGAACTGGGACCATCGTCCCAGGAGAAAAGGAAAGAAGAAGGACCAACTATGAATTACCCTAGTGCAACTCACTATATAGACCCCCAAGTAGATAGACAAGTAGATCCCCACTAAACATGTATTGGAAACTGTTTCTATCTCTTCGGGTGGCAGACCAGCTGCCGTCGCTGACGGCATTTTGTTGAGGTCCATCCACTCCAGGACTGGAAGTCCGGCGGTTCGTGCCACCGCGCTCCGGGTCGCGCAAGCTGTGCGTCGGCCTCGAGATTAGTAGTAGCGGGCCTCGGTGTTTCACCCCGAACCCGGCGCCAAGGATTGTCAGGCGCTGGGGATGGTTCAGTTTTGGTCACCTACCGAAGGAGAATCTGACAGTCTCTGAAAGGGGAGATCGAACTGAGGTTGATCGCCATACTCTTTTGCCGTGGGAAAACACACCACAAGTGATTGGTGATGTTTCGATTCTCTTCCCCAACGCGGTGGCAACTTCCTTGTAAAGTTCTTCCCCAATTCTGGCTTCCACAGATAGAAGAACTTCCAATATAATGAACACCTGCCACACGTGCCCTGCTAGCTACATGTTTGAGGCAAGTCTGACGCTATCGTTCCCAATCCAACCTGGTCCAGCGGTCTGGAACCAAACACCTAGGAGTAGAAAAGAGGCGGAGAAAGGAACTATAACTACCAGATCCACCAGGCAAAGCGTCTCCCCCCGGAAGGAAAGACCTTCGAACGCGCCAGGTCCAGGGCTCGGTCCACTGGGTGCATCGATCCGCCCTCCACCGCGCTGGTTTCCCTGGCCTTTTAGTCCGCCCTCCATCCGCTGCGCTGAGGGCTGGGCAGAGCCATTACGCATGTCTGTTCCCTATCGAAGAAATATAGAAACGTGATGATCTCGAGCCAAGCAGAAAGGCGCGGCACAGGCAGGCTCTACTATCGCCCGCGGGAAGGAGAAGACGACAGCATCACGAGCAAGCCACGAGGTATAGAAATAGAAAACAATATTGAAGTGAGAAAGACCTCCAGGTGCCTGCTCGATATACACCAAACGCCCACACAAGCCAAAGCAGCCACTGAATAGCCCCTGTGCGTCACAAATAGCTTAATTACAGCAATTCCATGTTCAAGCAGCGCCGTTGCAATAGCAAGCGCCACAACACTCATCACCATCCCAATCCACGACCCCTCAGTCACTCCAGTGGGGAGTCAACGCCAGGCACCTGGGGCGAAGCACCGCGCCCAAAATCATGCCAGGCCTGCGACACGACGGAAGCCGATGCAGCCCTCTATGAGCTAAGGATCCACAGCTTACCCACATCAATCATGCAGCCCGGTCTCCGTGGGCATGTTTTGCATGCACACAAGCTCAGGTACCATCTGGCAGCCTTACTCAGCAGTACCATCGAGATTGCGAACATGGACTCACACCGTTCTGAGTTCCCAGAACTTTGGGCCACCGCCCAAGAACTTTGGGCTGCCTGCGAGCGAGGAGCGCCCAAAGATCCTGCCCGTTCAGCGCAGGGCCTTGGGCGTTCGCGGCCTTCGCGCACCGTGCGACGTTCGCGGCAGGTCCGACGGCTTCAGCGACTCCTTGGCGACCTGCTTGGGGTGACCAGGCGCCGACGGCGAAGTGGGACGCGTTTGGTGTCCAAAACTCTGAAGCTGCCGCCATACTCCATCTTAGGCGTCCATTTGGGGTTCAAACGATGTCTTGTTTGGCATGCAAAAGAGTGGACATGTGAAAAACTCTTGAAAACAAAATGCGTCTCGGTCCAAGCTAACTGTGCACGCAATGGACATTGGATTGTGGTGGCCTGCAACTGCCAGGATGATGGATTCTGCCAGGTTGCATATATCACGTTGGACCAACACAAAACTACCGCTCTACATCCGGTAATGTTCACCATCAATGTGCTTCCACCCTCCCCACTAAAGACGGAAGGTTTACAGTGAGTGTCGTTACGGCAAGCTGCCAGAAGAAGTTGCGTAGCATTCCTCTACCAAATGGTGCGCTTACGATATCCTAACCAACTCTTACGGGCAAATCAAGGGGGTTGCACTACGATGTGGGGACCACTCGTGTGACTGAAAGCAAGACCCATTCACAGCACCCTACGTATCGTTCCTCCCAGGGCTTCGCACCGTCAAAGAGCCGAAGAAAGCCCATGGGGAAGTAGATCTCAGTCAACGGAGCGGCACGGTGTTCGGTGTCAGTGGCATAGCACATCTGGTTTAACCACACTTATATATATATATATATACATATATATAATATATATTGCCTTGAAATCACTGTACTGTCCTGAGCCACATGTTGGAGGCAGCAACATCATCGGAATCGAATACACTGTACATACATACATATATATATATATATGTATGAAATAACATATGTCTATATATATATAGTGCGTGTGGTAGATTTATACGATTTTATACGTGTTTCTTTAGTCATGCCTAGTGTTGGTGAGTGAATCCTGAAATTCTGGACTACGGCTCACATGGCCGCGAGAAAACTCGTCTCTTTGTCTTTGCACCCACGTGGGTGCTTTGGATGTTACCGGGCCAGCTTCATAATGGATCACACTGGGCAGTAAAGGCGTGATTTCTTTTGAAATCACGGGGGTGGGTGGAAGGACACGTCCAAGGTGATTTGCCTCTATTCCCCTTGTTCCTGAGCTTCCCAAGCGTCGCGCACCTCGTAAGCCACAATGTTCGGCACCCTTAGCACCAACAGACTGATGGACCAACACCTTCTCCGCACCCACACCCACCAAAACAAGGAATTGCTTTTCGCTAAGTGAAGCAAAAATCACCTGCCAACTGTCGTCGGAGTGAATCTGCCAGACTGCTTAGGTTCGGCCTGCACAACAAACACGACCTTCTGGCTATTCTGCACATGTCCGGTGTGCTCCGGAGTCGCGTTCGCAGAACGCTGGTCTGGTCTGCTGCGCCGGGCGGCTCCATGCCCATCAGCATTTGAAGGACCGAGGACATCATGACCTGCCATTGCTTAAGGGAAAAAGGCGCAACTTTGCAGACCAACAACGGGAGGAAACCGAGGTTGCAGGCAAGGAGAACGACGTTGGTTCCGAGGCTTTGCTGCTTCCATGCCATAACAAGGATAACGAGTTTGAATTTGATGATGGCTCATGTGGGAATCAATGTCTTGCTTTTCATCCCTGCATTACAAGGTGCATGTGGCAGAACTGCAAGTATTGGAAGATGTACTCACTTCCAGCGACCCAGGACAGACAAGGAACTCTTGGCCCACCTCAACCCATTGTGAAATCGGACCCGGTAACCTTGCATAGAGCAAGGTTATCTTTCATTCGCTCCTTCTTGCGATTGATGGGTTGCGGCACACATCAAAAAGGCCAGCTGAGATTGACTTGCGCACTCATTTCTTCAGGCGGTGTTGGTGAAACATCTGCACATTCTAAATCGATGAGCCACGTATGGGCGATATGATGGTGGCATCCCAAGCTTTTCCCTGGAAATGACCGGATGAAGCCGTTTGGACTGTTTTTGGGGAATGTGTAGAATGCTGAGGGTCCACAATACACCCACACCACCTGGCCGTGCTGAATTCAGATGACAAGAAATAGATAGAACTTAAGACACATGTATATATATATATATACACCAATCTTTCTTCGAGGCACTTTGTTATTCTCATGTTGATACATTTGTGGGTGCCATGCATGGTTTGTGCTTTTTGAATGGATTGGTTTCATGAATGGGGTCCTATCAGCGGTGCGGATATGGTTGATCACATTGGGCAGCTTCGTTTGGAAGCCCAGGCCGCAGGTGAGTCAGATGAGCCCCCTCCGTGTTGAAAGCGTGGAGGAAAAGAGTGATAGACTTGGATTTGCTTCAGTACCCAGGAAATACTTGTAAAGCTCACTGAGGACATTGGTGTCAGAAGGAATCTTCCAAAATGAATCGGAAACGTAGCATCCCTCCGCGACGTAGTAGGTCTTCCCTCGTTTCACCTTCTCGGTGGCTCGGTGACTCTGCTGCTTGGCCCGGTCTCGGGATCCTACAATGTCTATTCTCGATGTCTATCCATTTTGGGTGCTAGCTATCGGTTATGGACCATGGATGACCATGGTAGACTGTTCAAGGCTCCGTGCGAATTTTGCTGTGCGGACGTGGGTCGGGGCCTAAAACATCCTCAGAGACGGAAAACCCACCACATGCCCTCCAAATGCCCAGCTTTAAAAAAAAGTAAACAGAAAACACATTCTCACAGCCACAACTGGCCACTTCAGATGGATCCACAAAAAGGATGAGTGAGAGCTCCATGGGTTGTCTTTTTCCATCTTTTTCCCAACTCTGAGGCGGCTCCCACGGTCAGGTGGGTCAGAGGATGCCATTCACGAGACGCTGGTAGTTGTCCTTAACAAGGCAGAGGGCCAAGGGATGTCGGTGGATGGTGTCAGCCCCGCGCAAGTGGCATGAAAGACCCAGATGGCCCACCAATTGAGGCCTGAAAGACTTCAGGAGTCTCAGATACTGCCCTCCATCACCTCATTTCTTCAAAGCTGCTTCTTGGGAATTGCTTTGTTAGCCTGTTGGGTGGTCTACAATTGGAGGTCCTCATCTGCAACATGCTACACTCTGAATCTGGATGTTTCTGCCATCTAGCCCGGCAAGCGAAAGTCAACCCCCTAGTGGACACCTGCAGCATTCTTGTCAACAGATTGCCATTCCTTCCGGTCGATGGTCGGAAGGGACCGACATGTCACGTCGAAAACGACTCATTCGCTTCCCCACTCATTCGCAAGACCTCCTTTCAGCACCCCCCACTTCTCAACTGCTGCCCCCCCCCCCAAAACCTCGCCCCAAAAGCCCGGTCCAAACGCCACCTCCCAAAACCTCGCCACGCACCGCGAACCGTCCGTGCACCTCGCACGACGCCCGTCCGATGGATCTCGCCATGGGGCGTACTGGATGGTGCGCCAGTTGTTCACCGAGGTATCGATCAGCTCCACCACCTTCTCAATGCCTCCGAGGTGTCGAAGCTCCGCCCGAGAGTCTCAACGAGGTGGGGTCGGGCGTGGGTTTGGACCAATCGACCGATTCCGTCGCCAGAACTCGAGCAGTTCTGGAAGACCATCTTGATAACACGCTTCGACCTGGCCGTTTCAGGTTTTGATGCACGCAAAATCCGTGTCAAATCGTCACATGGGATGGCATGTGCATGATCAAAGTCTCAAAGTACCTATATAAGAGTTATGAGTTATGAGTGAATCTTTTCCGGCCCGAACTTCTTATTGGCTTCGTGATGCAGGTGGCATGGGAGAAGGTCCCAGTGCCCGGACAGACCGGAGACGCACGACCCGGTCACGCACGGAGTCGGGCACATCTGCCGCCAGGGGGCAGGCTTCCTCCGTCAAGTTGCAGAAGAACCTCAGTCGCGCCCAGATCGGGGAGCCATGGCATGGATGACATGAGCTGAGAAGTCACACACAAAGCCAACTCCGAAGCCGATAAAAAACCCTACTATTACCCTGGATATGGGACATCAAAAAGAAGGTGAGCTTTTGACACCTGAACCCCCACCCTCACTGGCACCCCAAACAAAGACCCCCCCCCATCCGTTGTTGTGCCCATGGCATGCCCTCTCGCCTGTCTTGCAAGGTGGAGAGCACAAAGTCGGCGCCTTCGCGGAAACATGGCATCTTCGAACCCACCAGCATCATCCGCACCTGCCGAAGGAAGGTTCGCCGCAGGCGGAAGCAGAAGCGGAGAGAATAGAGTTCCTCCGTGCGCATCTGCCGTGAAACAGAGAGCCATGGGCCCCAGCGCACAAAACGGCCACCGGGAGGTGAAGCTCCGCTGGTCCGAAGCCAGTACGGATGGCAAGGTCCGGAAACCGGAACATGGGGTTTCAACCCACCACGCCCACTGCCTGGAGGACAATCCGCTCCATGTGCTTCCGGGCCTCGAGAAAGCCACGGATCAACAAGGTGCCTCGGGCGCGGGGGAAGACGTGCAGGTCTGGAGAGCGACAAAGCGCTGGGGAGGACAAGTGCTGTGTGCACCTCTCTCTTGACCTTCATGCCTCTGAAATCCGTCCCTCGGCTCCATGCTCCAGCCACGGCCCCAACACAGGCCCACTCACGCCGAAGCACGGAAGTACTCATACTGCTCGGAGCACTCGCCGTCCATGACATCCAGGATCTCCTGAAAGTGCAAGCTCTTTGTTGGGACTTGTCATCATGTAAAGGCAAGAAGGTGAGGAACTGATAGGAACTGTCAAAAAATCCACTTGCTCATTGCTTATTGTGGATGGTCATGCCGCTAGCAGCGCTACAACCCCAAAAAATATCAGTCTCTTGAGTCCTGGGCTTGACTTCTTGGCTTGAGGTGGTTCCATCCAAGAAAGCTTTACAACTTTACTCTTTATACAGATGCTTCGTGGGATTCTACACCATGGTGTAGGTTCTGAAGGGAATCGCTCGTTCTCACCCATCCCCCCCCCCATCCCCCATCGATCCCGATCCACCGCTGCACCGCCTGAGTCAACTTGAAGGGAGAGTTCTCGAAGGCCATGTTGCCGCCGGGGGAGTTCGAGAGCATGAACCTTCGGGAGTTCGACGTGACACCTACGTCGTTGGGTGCTCCTCTAAGGAAACACGCTTCGTACAGGCCCTCAGGTCTCTCACCCTCTCTTGGTCTGGTATAATCACACGTCATCCTTTTGGCATGGCCTTTAATGATGGCCTCGTCACAAGCCACTTTATCTTACTCTCTTCTCTTAATATGTTTTTCTGTGTCATTAAAATCCTTGATCTCTAAGACTCTCAGAAATGGCTTCTTTTATTCGATGGTTCATATCTTTGTTCTAATATTCAAGTAATTTCTGTCAACTACAACCGCATATTAAGAACTCAGATTAAAATAATGCCTTAACCAATAATCGCTGGCACCGACAATAAACTTACAATCACATCAGCATATATGTATTCTTTTGTTCCATACCCAAGATTAAATGCTGATGATAGAATCACCCATGAAATTCTGGTCTATAATTTTCTTGGAACTTCATGGTAGCTTTTGTCCGTTGGCAATTTCTTGATGGGTTAGTAGGTTGCCAACAACCTGACATTAAGACCCTGAGCACCCTCACTGACTTGGGTGCGACAGGGAAGAGACAAATGGGCCCCTTCTTGGATCTGGGGCTGAGAGGGATGAACCGACATGAAGGTACCATCAGAATCCTTTTGTAGGAGCTACAATAAAACCCTTGAGCTTCCGCTTAGCTTTTGGAGAATAAGCCGGAGAGGGCCCCCCACCAAAACACTGAGCCAACATGAGCTTCTCCACCCAGTAGGTCCTTCGTTGGTCCTTCCCTCCCTCAAAGAGGAAACCCTCCGCTCCACCGGTCCTCTCGTCATTCCCCTTCCCACCCAGGTGCACGACATCTCGCCATCTCCGAGGCACCCAAAGTCGATGTGCACCACATGCCCAGAGGTCAGCAACATCAAATTCCCGTTGTGGCGATCCTTCACCTGCCGCACCGAGCCCCGGGCTCCGCGCCGCGCGAAACCGGGCGAAACCGGGCGAAACCGCGCCAGGGGGTGAAGACAAACGTCTGCTTTTATGCTGAAGGAAGAGATTTGGCGATCTTGGCATGTGGGCGTCTGACCCAACCAGCAAAATGGATCCAGGTAAGCTTCTAGAAACGGTGACATGTCCGACATGTCCCTGCTGCAAGTGGAGATGCAGTTCTTGCCAAAAGTCTTGGAAGCCGCTACCCTCACACGAGGGAGACGCCGCCTGCAGGAAATACACCACCAGAGAATAGGCCGCTGAGCTCTCGATGAAGTTTTTCTTGGCTTCAAACCTGGTCTTCGCGGAGTGGCGGAGCACAGAGGCTTGAAGCAACTTGAAGCGTGGAGTTGGTTTAACCAAGTCGTGAGTCGTGACCTCTGGAATGAGCTGGTTTGATGTTCTGCATGTTGACCCATCACCTGGTTCTATCACCATAAGACAAGAAAAGGACAGAAAATGGTGACCTCCTCCAACCTCTACCTCCTCCAATCCCTCGCCGCACGGAAAATCCCAACCAGGCAGCATGCGATCGGCGAAGGCGACCTTGAAAATCTCCGCCAAGGTCTTCCCAGGGAAGAGCTTCTTCATGGCCTTGGGAATCAGCTTGGCCCATGCTCATCCAGTTCCCTAAACGGCCCTGGCACAAAAAGAATAAAAAACTGGAAAAGGGTGGAAAACGTCGTCTCCTGTATTATCTGTATTGAATGAACTCTTCAGAGGTTGCCCAGGTTGCCCAAAGAAGAGCGTGGGGAAAATGAGGAGCTTGGACGTTAAAGCCGGCCTACATCTCTCAAAACAAAACTCAGCATCGCTCACCAGGTTCGAGCCAAGTTCAAACCTATTCCACGCATTTTCGTGGCATCCCCCATCTCTCACCGTCAACGGTTTGCCCCCGAGGGACGTCCACCGAGATGGAGTCCGGGATGAACTCCAAGAAGCCGTTCGTGGAGCTCGTCACCAGCACCTCGAGGATGTCTGTCAAGTGTAAGCCACGAAGTGAACGTCAAAAGGAAGAAAGCACTACTCACTTGCCAACATGAACTGATTCTAGACACGGGCCGATCCGGCAAGTGATCCTTTGGAAGACGACTTCCCAACTTGCTTTCTTTGTTCAGTGGAAGGTCTGAGCCAGGAAGTTCTGAGCCTCTGGGCCCTGGGCAACTGTTGCTGAGTTGATGAGCTGCTAGACCCTAGGATGAACTCTGCTCCACCCATGCACCTTCGTTGCTTTCAGCCACAAAGGCAAGCCTGCTTCCTGGGCACAGCGGGGCTATGGAACAAGCGCCCAGGAGCAGCCCATAGAACCCTGCGGAGGCCCAATCCATCCCAATCCATCCAAGGAACCCTCAGAATTGGTTCACTTCTAGAGTTGTTCAAAAAACACCGCCGATCCATGTGACGGTTGAAACCCAATCGTAGGCCAGAGCATCGATCCATCCAGAGCATCGACCCCTCCCTATTCTACACCCTTGTCCTTACAGCTGCTCTCCCCACTTGAACCACCTTCCCCCACCCATGCCAGTCACCTCCCCACCTTCCTCTTCCGCACCTGGAAGATGGCGCTGAACTGCTCGATGATCTGTGAGGCCAGGAGCTCCTGTCGCAAATCGTCCCCGCCCTTCACCATCACCGCACTCCTCAGCTCCCGCTGCGTATGTCAGCATCCTCGAGGCATATGCCGACCACTACAAGAGAGAACACTAACAACACCGGTGACCTGAAGGCATATCTGTCAATCACACCAAGGGAGTGATTGAAGTCCCACATCTGTGAGACTCTTGGAAGACCTACCCTGCCATGATGGATTCTCCGTGGATGGAACCATCCAAGTTCAAGTCTATAGTCCGCTGTACGTGACTCAGATCGTTGGTTCTGGTCGGCTGAAAGGAATGAACAGAAAGCTGAAGGGAAAAAAGGACCAAGCACTACTAAGCACTTGAAAAAATACAGTGGTCATGATCATGAATCATAGACTTGAAGAGGTGCAAGTAGTGAGTCCATGGCAACGAAAAAAAGTGTCGGTGAAGAATCTCATGCTCAATTGGGTTCCACCACCTGCCCTCAAGTCATGATCGCCGAGCTTCAATCTCCAGCTACTGTAGCGGCTGTAGGGAGACGCAGCACGCACACGTTCCACCTCAGCATCAAGAACACGCGCTCGCAAACACGCCCGCATGCTGTTCGGAAACCGAACAGAACAAGTCCAAACCTCTCAAAAAAGAGCTCGTGGAATTCCTCAGTTTCTGGGGTCCCTCCACGCGCGCCAGGACCTACCACAACTCGCCAGCCCAAGAGACCTTCTCCCGCCACAACTCGCCCCATATCCGATGCCTGGCAGTACCGTGATGCGCATCTCGGGTGGGGTGCTCAGGTCGATGAACTGAACAAAGTTGGAAGGGCGGGCTGGGGTATCAGGATCTCATGCATTGGAGCTAGTTGAGGTCCATCCACCTTGCGGTTCAGTTGGTGAGCTAGGGTGGTTGATTCAAGAATTCCACAGAAGTTCAAGAATCCTCCTACCATCTCCTACCTTATATACATTGAACACAAGAACAAGAACAATATGTTAAACCTCTCAATTGCTCAGGCTTGGGCTAGGACATTTGGTTGATAAACCCATTCAAGTCTCTGGCTTTGGGCATTGTAGATTGGGGTGTGTGATCCATTTCCATCCAACCTGACCCTTTTACCACACCTTCCCCCTTCCGACCCACCCGCCATCGCCCGAAACCAACGACCCCCCCAAAACGCCTGGTGCGCGCAGCTTCCTCCTTCCTTTTCCGGGCTTCGGCCCTGTGGCAGTGTGGAGAGGGGGCCCCAGGACTGGAGATCCAGGCCCTGCGGAGACTGGAGTGTAGTCCTGGGGAGGCCAACCTTGAAACTTTAAAACATCTTCTATAGCTCTCCCGGACACGCTTGCGTCACACGCTTGCGTCATGTCTCACGCTGGGGCAACCAGGTTCACTCGAACGCCAACTCCACATGGGAAGTCATAAGAACATATATATATATATATAGGAAGTTGGTATAAATTAAGTCGTGTCCATCGAGTGGCCGACTGTTGCGCTAAAGCCACGACAACGAAGAAAACGATCCAAAACAAGAACGGCCCTCCCCGTCTTTCCCCTTCTTGCTCAGGATCCTCATCGTCTTCCCGTCAAGCTCCTGGCGCCAATCGTGAAGGCAAACACCTCACCCGAGCCAGAGCTATCTGACTTTTCGGGAACGAGTCCCAATCCAAGAGAGTGCCTTGACCTGGGAAGGGTCTCCATCTTGCAGAGCTCGACATTCCAGTCCTGCAAGTCTGGCTCATCTTTGCTCGCAGACTTCTCGACTGTACCATCCAAGCTCTTCCACTGGTCCGGCGTCACCTCAACCACGGCTGGACATCAAAAAAAATGGGAACTGCTACCCTTTCCCAGAGGCACCGAATCCAGAATTCAATTCTAACGCAACAAGAGGGTGAAGGCTCGACTCAGATGACTCACCAGGCTCTCCGGAGCGAACGCCGTGCCTTTGTCCCCGCCGACCCCCGTGTCCCGCGGACGGTCCAGCGCCTGCTTCAGAAGCTGATGCAGGCGGGCGGCGGTCGGTTCACCTGCCGGAAGGCGGCAGGAAAGCGAGACGGAGCGTCTGAGGAACAGGTCGGCCGAGGAGGTGCCAGTCTAGGAGGTGACAGGTCCTGCCGTTGCAAGCAGGTTGCAAAATGAGAACTTTATCTAGCAAAGTCTTGGAGCGCTGTTGGGGGGGAAGCTACATACATCCGATTTATACACTCAGACAATGATGCAACTGCAAGAGATCTGGAAATCAATGCTTTGCATTCCTGCTGGGCCCCTTTCGTGGCTTCAACCCTTTCCGAAACCTGACACTGGAACTGTGGAATGATTGACCGTAGCAACTGAATGACCGACCGTGAACCCTACCAGTTGGCACCGCTGACTGGACCTAGAGGTGTTTCACGAACTTCTGGCGCCGGCACGGCCTTCATCCATGCCTGCACTGCCTTCGCAGCCCAGACGCAGCTCTTGCAAGACACATCTGGATAACCTCCCGTCGCCCCAACGTGGAACACCAGGGCCCGGAGGAACATCCAGGGTTCCGGACAGTGTTTCAAGCGCCGTGGTGTTCAAGCGAAAGTTACATGTATATCCGTGCATTTTGCGAACGGATGAAAAGTGTGCCCTGGCCCCGTTCAAGCCCTTAGTTCAACATGAAGCTCGCGCGCTAAAGCTCCTTTTTACCTGGTTGGGCACTTGAGCCAAAAGTATATGGCATGTACCTGTATAGCAACTATACTGGGACCTCATCCCTATTGACACCCCCCACATCCGTGCTTCGACGGGGAAGGGAGATGAGTGGATGTAAAAACCGGAGAACGAATCATGTTCTCAAAAGTGCATTGGAGGTCAACCAGTATGTCCTATAAGACTGAATTAGCAAACGATCTTGCATTCGCTTGAAAGCTGGATCAAACAGGTAATGGAGCTACAAACGGAGAACGTGCACCTACCTATGGTATCATGCGATTACCATCGGTGTGAACACAATCCTATCTCACTCCCATGATGCCAAAATGGTCATCATGAATTACCCAAGATCCCTCAGTACTTGAAGTACCGGAAGTAGTATGTCGGTATGACCCCGATGCTCAACCATTCGTGAGTTGTCGCATGTAGTCAGCTCCGACAAAGCCAATGTAGTCCTTGATGAGCTCAACGTTCCTTGGGTTTCCCCTTCGGATCTGCTCCTCGAAGAACTTCAATTTCTGTGTTTGAGTATCGGATACCTCTATGCCATAGTAGCGGCATGCAACGAGGATCTCCTTTGTGACATTCTTCCGCTCCGATTTGATGGCGGGGCTAATGTCGATGAATTTGTATGGAGCGGCACCTTCGTCATCTGGTTTCTGGTAGTAACTATATCGACTCGCTCCGAAAGTCTTCCTGATCAAGCGTCTGATGAAATTTGAGATGAATGCCAGTTTCTCGATGATCTCTTCCTGGGTCTCAGATCTTCGAGCCTTTGGATCACTCATGTTACGCCGAGTGCTGCCGACCTCTTTGAGGTACTTGTGGCTAAGCCCGCAGCGGATTGCAGTGATCATCATCGGGTGAATAACGTGGGCATGGAATTCATAGATCTGCCACGCTTCTGTTGCATACGTGTCGTTGGTCCATTTGCTCACGCCTACGACTTCGGCTCTCTGAAGGCGTCTTGGAAACCCAGTATCCGGATCATTCGGTACAATTGGCCATCTATTGTATGGAGTATCATGTCGCTGTCCATCGTCGAACTTTCGCAGTACGTCTTCACGACTCTCAAAGCAATTGATGTCGAACGTTGCGTTGGCCAAGCTTTTGATCAACTTCATCAACCTCAGATCAAATTGCTGAGTGACTGCAAAGTTGTGGTCGATGGGGATCGCAGCTTCTTGCGGTAATTCGTCAATTGCGAAGGGGAAAGGCTGTGGAAGTTCATTCCCGTATCCATCTTGAGGGACCTCCCGATATTCGGGTTCGCCTTCGGCTTCGTCCGGTCGTTCCTTCAAAATGATAGGAACTTCCACCTCTTCATCTCCTTCGGATTCCTCAACATCAATAACCTCTTCGGCTGTCTTGCGTGCGTTCTTGATGACTTCATCGATGTTCGCACCTGCAGCAGAAGTTGCCTCACCGGAAGAACTGGCTGGGACATCCCTCGGAGGTGATCGTTGATTGCGGTCCCTTGTCTCCTTGGGTACCACATGCGTGAGCTTCCCATTCGCGATCAAAACCGCTACGCAGTGCGGACATATCGTCAATCGCACATCGACTTCGCCAAGACAGTTAGGACACGGTCTTGAGTCATAGTCTTTCATCGCTCGGCGGTACACGATCTCCTCAAAGATTTCCTGCCACTCGGCGCTATCATACTCTGGGTAGACACCACTCTCCTCGATCATGCCCAACAGCTTTGAGATTTTGGCGTCGTCCTCGGAGTAGGTATCGTCCTGGACCTCAACCGCTAAGCTCTCAAGCTTTTGGTAGCGTGGAGTCATGATCGGGTTTCCGTATTTGGACTCCAGAACAAGGTAGCTTCCAGGGTCGGGTTCTCTATTGAGTAACCTGATCCATTCGATCTCCTCAGGCTGTCCGGGTTCTGCATTGTCGCATTGCAACCATGCCCCTTTAACCTCATCGAAGGGAACGACGTCCTCAACCAATAGAGATCCAGTCGCTGAGATGAGAAGCCCGTACTCCTGCAGCTTCCACGCCGGAATGTAGAGAACCACTGGGCGATCACTCAACGCGACCTTACGACCCAGCCAAGGTTTTCCCTTGTAGCCCTGCTCCCATGCCCATGGCGGAAAACATGTGAAGTGGATAGAATCCCTTCCCGATGAACCGAGACCTCCTGGCACTAGCCCCCGTCGCATGATTGAAGTCAGCGCTCCAAGATTGGTAGCGTGAAATGCAGTCACCATGGATAGGGCCATGTCGTTGGTCATTCTCGATCCAATGTGGTCGATGTTGATGGTAACGTCATAACCTCCACCGTCCGATGAGTGTGCTGAGGTTGCTCTTACAGCCACGGGAAAGCACCATCCATCGCTATGGTGGAGTCTTCCTTTGGAGATTCCCATGCCCTTGAGCTCGTCAATCCATTCCTTCTCCATCGGGTCATCAGGATCATTGAGTTCATCAGGGTGAACGCGGACCGCCAACATTTGGAATCTGATCCTCTTGGTTATGCGGAAACACTCATAGTTCTGGTCGAGGTACTTCTCCAAACGCGCCTTCTTGGTCACGATGTCTATGTTGCCATAGTGATAACCGTCTTCCCAAACTGCGTTATCACCTAACAGGTCTTCCCATGACACCCATGCGCCCTCATCGCATTTGATTGGTGTGAGTCTTCCTCCTGTCCTGAACTGGCGTCCAATTCGATGCCTCAACTTCGCTCCCAATCGTCGACTCAGGGCCTGGCTCGCTTGGCTGTATTCTGGTACTCGACAGTCTGGAGTCGGATACTTGTGGTTGCCGTAGTCGGAGTTCTGCGCAGCGAAAGTGACTCCGTTGATCGGTACTAGCTCAACTTTCCCGACCATTGTCATGGGGTCGATCGGCTTGTATCCCTTCTCCCTCCGTGTCGGTAGGGGATAGAATTGATGACATGCTTTTGGTTTGAGGGAACTGGAGTGCACAAATGCCTTCTCTACAAATTCGTACACCACCCTCATATCCCCAGGGCCCACTTCCGCAAGCTTCCGCCCATTGTAGGAATGTGTCCCTCCTTCGACTCCATCGGCACTTTCAATCAATGTGAACCCGTCATGGTCAAACATTGTCACGACTCTTGCTTTCAACATTTCTTTTCGCCTGAACTCGCTGTCGACCTTCCTATCTGGAGTAGGCGATGCTCTCTGCTTCTTCTTCTTAGGCTCCTCGGTTGGATGTCCGGATGGTACATCGTCGGGTGCAACCTCTCCCTTCACTCTCTTCTTCCAATCACTCAACACTGAGGTGACTGTGGGTGAAGACGAAGGGATCTTCTCGCAATTGAGAGTTGTGTGTCCCGACTTCATGCAATGGATGCAGAATTCTGCTTGCCCGATCTTCTTCTCGAATTCGTCGATGGCTTGCAGTATTGATGTCTTCGGGTCGGACATGTCAACGTCTTGCTCCTCCTTCTCCTGTTCACATTCAGTTTCCATATCGACACCTTCGGCCTCGGGCTGATCAGTAGCTTCTGCTCCCTGTTCTGGTTCTTTCCCAATTTCGAAGAAGTGGTCGATGTCGAATTCAGGAGGCGGCATGGTCCTCATGCGAACGAGAATCAGTGCCACGTTTGCCGCCTCATCAGAGTGCGGGTCCAGTGTTCTGATCATCGACCGCTTTCGGTTCTCATACGTTGTCCTGTCGTACAGCGATGCAGTGACGCGCTTGATGGATTCCTCTAATCCCGTCCTCAAAGCCTCAATGTCACCCCATCCCAAGAACAGGTGTTTGAAGAGTTGAACAATTTCTAACATGCCCAGCAGCGCTTCCACCATATCACCTACCCGTTCCTCCGTGGGATCATCTCCGAACATGGTGCGGAATACATCGGGCTCCAATATGGTCTTGAGGTATTTGGTGTAGCACACGTTTCCAAGGTCATAGGATCCCTGGTAGTACTTGGCGCTGCCGACTATCTGCTTTTCCACATGGATGCTGGGTCCTCTCCTCGTTTTGAAGAAGTTCTCCGTCATTGTTGATGACAACCTGATCCCCCCGAAGAACGAGATCTCCTTCTGGAAACCTGGGTTCCCGTTAAAGATGATCATCGCTTCGTGTAAGAACTTCATCAAGTCTACGTGCGGGTTCATCTCGGAGATCATGACGGTGGGAGAAGATACCGTTTGCCCCATGCCGAAGTTATGAAGCAATCGAGCACATGCATGAAATCGCTTCTGGACGTAGTCTTCTGCGGACATCCCACGGCATCTATTTGCTGCTCCGTTGATGCATTCTGCATAGCAATCGTCTTTCAAATCGGAGTCTATGGGATTGCAGACCAAACAGTAATCGCAGCAAATCTCCTCACCCTCCTTGAAGTCATCAATGACGTACCACCTTTGAGTCCTCGAGTATATTGGTTCTGGCTGGAGGACTCCCCAGTACTCATCCATCCATGGCATCTTGTTCTCTCTCCTTGCCTTCTCCCTCTTCCTCCGCTCAGACTCGTACTCACCTGAAGGTCCCGCAGTGGATTGATATGCATGGCTTCCTCTTACGGAATCTCCGAACAAGTACTGATACAACCTCTCTTTGTCCTGCAACACGTGTTCCAAGTTGGGATCATGGAGGCTATTCGCTTCGGTCAAGGGATCCGGTGCCATAAAGCAAGAAGCGAGCATCTTTTCTCTGAATAAGTACTTTTCCATGACAGCGTGGACCAAAGAGGTTCCAGACTTCATAGAGTAGGGGTGACCGCCTCCGGCGACCGAAATGGCTCGCCAGAATCTGTCCGACGTCGTGGACATCATGCCATTCAGCGATAGCTCGTCCTTGATCATGTTGGCGATT